TGAATCCCAAACAGCCTGATAACTGACAGGCTTTCCTCTTGATGTTAGGCATACAATGGTAGTTCAGCTGAATCCTTTTGCTCCTAAATCCCTCAATCGCTATAATAAATTACATTATGCTAAATGTATGGATCACCTATGAGGTCACAGTCTTCCACTTGCCTCTCTCGGCGCTGCAGGGTCCAGCCAATCCCTGGGATGAACATTCACTTACTGGAAGATGCTCTTTCTATTGAAGGTACCCAGTCAGTATTCAGCTTTCACATCACACATGCCTTCTTTGGCATCATTCTTTTTGGGGACTCTCCAGCCAGATCAAATGCGTATCCATATTCAATAGCGCTTACAGCTGACCTTCAGGCCCAGCTGCACCGGTGTTGCGCTTACTTAATTATTAACAAGGCTTTCCAATAACAATAATGAAAAAAATTCAGATGGAAGAGGTTAAGCCACTTTGCCACAATGTTCAAGGCTAAGCATGTGGCAGCTTCTCATTGTCTTATAGAGGCATGAGTGAGGAGCTGGGGTTGATTAAGAATCCATTCCAGCTCCTCCACCTGGCTGCTTCACTCCTCTGAGCCCGCCTTATCCTCTACCTCAAAAAGGGGAAGATATATTCATCACCTTGCAGAGGGCGTTCTTCGAATCAGAGGCACAGACACAGCTTCCACCGCTGAATATAGCATACAAGCAGAAAACAAAAAACAGTGACCATGGATGGAAAGTCAGTCCACATGGCTGTAAGCATGAAATAGTATCCCTACTCTGAGAATCTAAGTCTTAACCTTAAACTCATGGTTACGTAAAATGGAAAACATTCCCTAGTTGTGATGTGTTGGGCAGGGGGTGCTTACCATGCGCACGGCAGCGCGTTTTAAGAAAACCTGCAGATAAATGAGGAGAAACTTGGTAATCTACGTTCCACACTTGCCTGTTTCTCAGGTAAATGGCAGGCACCCAACAGGCCGTACCAAAAGCAAAAGATAGTCGTCAACAGTAGACTCCTCCTAAGAGGGTAACTTGGAATGGGGTTCAATGCAACAAATAAATATGAGGCCTCCGCAGAAAGATGATAATACAAGCTCTGGACAGGAAACCTAAAGGGCAGAACTGGGAGAAACTACAATGAAACTAAACATTATTTCTCCCGTCCTGGGGATGTAGGCCTGAAATTCCAGCTATTCTGGAGGCTGAAGCAGGAGGACAGAGAGTTCAAGGCATGCCTGAGGCTTACGGTGAGCCCAAAGACAGCCTGAGCAATTAAGACTCTATGTCTTAAAATAAAAAGTCTAAAAGGGCTGAAAATGTAGTTCCACAGTAGAACACATGCCTAGCATATGTAAGGCCTTGGGTTTAATGCCCGGAACAGAAGAAAAATCTCTCTGAAAATAGGCATATCATAAAAGGGCTTGCTTTTCTGCAGGCTGAATTTGCTGAAGAATTTTTTGTTGTTTCATTTATTCCAACAGAAAGACACACGACCAAAAAAGATTATATTAGAAGAATTCATCTGCTTTGCTGCACCTGGTATAGATAGCTCCATTCCCAAGACGCAGAACAACCCAATGCAGTTTCTTTATTTGCACCCATTTAAGCCACTTTTTTAAAAAAGTGGTTTCTACCTCTCAGTGCCAGCATTGGCTTTCCAGCGTCATTCCTGGTGATTTCAGGAACATTGCAAAGAACCCGGTTCCCTTGAGATGCCTCATTTACAGCCCACCTATTGCTGTGGCAGCCAGCCTATTGCTTCTATTTGCATTGCCAAGCCCAGGGCTGGGAGCATGCTTCTCACTCACGAGAAGCAGTTGTATTACCAGAGGCCAAGCACAAAACCCAGCTCATGCAGGACATGGGAATATGGTTTCATAATGAATAGGAGAACTATGTGTCCTTTTGTCTCATATTTCAATTTTAAGAATTACAGAACCTCTATTGATTGTTAGTAGTTAAGGAAAATAGCATGGCTTCATTGTTTAGATAATTAAAACACAGAAGTTACCATACACACACACACACACACACACACACCTCTCTCTATATAGCTCTATCAGAATATAACAAAGACAGCTGTCCGGATTTTACAGCAGAGAACTTTCATGAATGCCACTTTCCTTCCGCAGTACAATCTGTTTCTTCTTGTTTTGATAGTTTTAAGGTACTTCTTGGGACTCATATACATTATCATATTTGTGTATCATGGTCCTTGTTCATAGTTGCCCTGCCCACTGCAGCAGTTGGTTTTGTACCTTATGTGGGGTTAGGACTATGAGAGAAAGGAGGAGGTCACTTTCTGGAAAAGAAGGTCGTGAAACATTTTTTTGCCTGTATAAAATAAGGACTTTTGTAAATGTCTTGGAACTTGCTTTGCAGATCAGACTGGCCTCAAACTCAAAGAGGTCCACCTGCCTCTGCCAATCCCATCAGTCTTAATCAGAAAAATAGATACTATTTACCTACCTAGAGAGTGTGAACCACCATTTATAGTCAATCCCATTATAAGCATTTTTTAATACACCACAGAATGTTCCCCTGTGACATTTTCATAAACCGGTATCACTGTGCTTTGTTCATCTTCACCCATCTGCTCCCCATGGTGGCTCCCTACCTCTCTTTCTCCCTCATTGGTCTCCTTTCTTCTCCCAGCCAGTCCACCTCCTGTTCTGAAGGCACATAAAAATCTGGCTGGGTGTGGTGACACCCTTCTTTAATCCCAGCCCTCAGAGGCAGAGACATGTCTCTATGATTTCAAGGCCAGTTTGGTCTACATAGCAAGATCAAGTCCAAAGAGAGCTACATAGTGAGACCCTGTCTTCTCAGTAAAAAAAAAAAAAAAAAACAAACAAATCTAGTTCTGCACGTGAAAGAAGAAAAATCTGTGAAAGAAAAGTGCAATTTCTCTCAGTTATGTAAGTGAGCTGCTTATGCAACCAATGGGTTGCCACTGGGATTATAATCCGATCACCACCTTTTCCAGGCAGCAGTTTAGGTTGTGGGGAAACAGGGAAGCATGAACAATTTGTTTTCCTGACTTGCCTGGGGGTTGAGATTAGCATTCCTCCACCTGAACTGAACACTTAACTCCTAATCGGTTTTACAGATTAGTATGGGTCCCTCTTCGTGTGTCAAGGAAGCTAGAGCCCACTTTTCAAAAAATGGGAAACACCAAAGGGGAAAAAGAAATAAAGAAAATGCCAGTGAAATAACTTCAACCAAACCTAAAATTCATTGCAAATCCACTAACCAGAAATGTGTGATAGGTCAGGAAGATATGAGACCAATGTGTGCCTTTGGCCTAGTTGTGCAACAGTTTGCTAAATCAATGAGTGGAAACCATTTCAGAGAAAAGATAGAAACTTCCAAAAGGACTTGAGTAATTCTAAACATTTACAATAGGAAAGAACAGTCTACAGTTACAAATAACTTATCCATACTCGGATCGTGTCGTGCCTCTAAGAAAATCCTTACAGGATTTGATTTAGTGATGAATTTAAAATTTTATAAAAATGAACATGAAATAAATTTTAAAAAGAAAATTGAAAGTCTTTTCCTGAACCAGATGGTCCTTCCGACCAGCCAGCTTCCTGAGTGATGGAGGTTACTGGGTGTCCTAACTTCACACATGAGATTAAAAGTAGCCTGCCTGGGTTCACATTCACTACCTGGGTGTGCTCATCATGGTCACGGTGCCTCCATTTCCTTAAAATGGAGGTAACAAGGATCTTAGATATTTTAAAACATAAAACACCGAGTGCCTGACTCCTGTATATTTCAGATCTTGCTATAGGTGCCAAGGTGAAGACTCTGGCCAGATCGTAGCCACGTCCCAGAGTGTCACTGGGAGATGGGGCATGGTGAACATCTGAGACACAGGGAAACCCCATCTTGGAAGCCACGGCTGTGACATTTTTACACTGCTGCCCAGCACAAACCTTTTGAACTCTCCAAGTCTCCTATTCTTCAGGCCCCTTGCCTGAAGAAACCTAAACTAGCCTCGCCAGGTACTTCTGGTTAATAATGCATAGGTTTATCCAAACCATCGCCTCTTTGTCTCCAGGAAAGGTCTAAATTCTCTTTTCAAGTTCGTTCTAGAAGGCAGCTACAGTCTTCCCTCATCCACGCCCTCCCGAGAGACTCCAGCACAGCTCTTCTTGGGAATCCCTTTTTAAATAAATCCCCCGGCTCCTTAGAGGCTCTCTGAACTCCCACACCATCGTCTGAAACTGTTCTTCAAAATCCATTGTTGAGCGCTCCTGAGCTCCTCACCCGATTTCTAGTTAAAGACACAAAGGGATGGACTGGGGCTTCCGTGTGGGTGAGATGAGATGGAGATCAGCTTGGGGACTGTCCCTTTAGACACCACAAAGAGAGAGAGACAGAGAAAGACAGACACACACACACAAAGAGAGAGAGAGACAGACAGGGACACACAGAGAGACACAGAGAGAGGATAGTGACGCACCTGAATAGGTCCGCTAGAGCCAAGGAGATAAACTAAGGCTTGGCGTGGGTTGAGTGGGAGGGCAACACTCGCGCACGCGCGCGCGAACACACACACACACACACACACACACACACACACACACACACACACA